ATTCTATTATAGCTCAAACAAGTGCTACTGCCAAGTCTAGTTCTAATTTTATGACTTTCAATTAAACTAATATGTGCCTAGCACTTCTTGGAGGATAGACAGTGGGTTGGAAAGTTAGCTGGGTGTGGTGGCTCACGCCTATAATCTGTAATCACAGCTACCCAGGAGACTAAGGGTGGAGGACTGCTTGAGCCTGGGAGTTGTAGCATTGTTTGTTAATACCAAAAAGGGGGGGGACAATCTAAATGTTCAAGATTTAAGAACCAGATAAATTAAAATAAACTGTGGTACACTTGATTAATAGAATACTATAAGGTAGTAAAAGTAGTAAATAAGAATGACAAAACTCTTTATATACTAATATTAGATATCCCCAGAATAAATTAAAGGAAAACAGTAAAGTACAGAAATGTATATAGTACACTGCCATTTGTGTTAAAAACAATAAATTGAAAAATACAAATTGACATGTATGAAATTCTCACATACAAATAAAAATCTCTAGAAGGATATTTATCAGTAAGTCATTGAGGGGGGAAGGCAACGCACATAACCTAAACATTCGTACTCCCATAATATGCTGAAATAAAAAATGGAAAAAAATAGGTCATTGAACACTGCCTAAAAGAATAAATAAAAAATGAATATTTATTAGAAACTTAACATGGTTTGCTTATGAGAGGGGGCAAAATAAAAGGATTTTTTTCCTTATTGTATATTCTTTTTATTGTTTTTGAACTTTGAACCATGTGAATGTAGTAGTTTTTTAGTGTGAAATTACATTGTCTAAGAAAATAACTATAAAGTTGGAGAAACCAGAAAAGTTTTCAATTAAATGTTTCCAACTGTTATAAAAGAGGAAGATATATTTGGTGGTGGTTAGGGATAACTCCACCTAGAGTGTTAATTAGCAGGTTTATAAGGATATAATAGCTGGAGTACGTGTACCTGATTGATGAAGTTCCTCTGCTTTTGAGGGTACCATGGAAATCAATGTGATACAGTGGGAAGAACATGGGTTTTGGGATAAAGCGGACATAGATTCAAACCCCAGCCTTTCCATATTGGGCAAGTTATTTAACATTTTTGAAGTTTCAACCTCCTCATCTATAAAATGAGTGAAATCTGAATATGACGGTCTACCATGAAGGTTAAATGACATAACATTCAAGTGCAACAAATTTGTTCATTTACTTCTTCTTTCCTTATATAGATGGGTTGAACTGAGATGGACTGACATACAGAAATTAAATGTCTTGAGAAAATGTAGGTCACATGTAAAGAAGTACATACATGTAGCTAAACTATCTATAATTTAGTTTGTCAATCTCATATTATGAGAAATGAAGCCTCCTATTACCTTAGAAGTTTTAAAAATCCCTTGGCTATACAGTTTCCCTTTTTTCTTTTTCTTTCCCTGTCTGAAAAATGGTCAAAAGGAAGAAAGTACTTTGAAACATATTACACATACACCCTAATAAATATTTCCACTGGCTTTCTATGGGAAAACATTTTACTCCCATGCGCGTGTGTGTGTGCACACACATATATACATATATATATATATTTTTTTGAGACAGAGTCTTGCTCTATTGCTTGGGATACAGTGCAGTGTTACATCATAGCTCATAGCAACCTCCAACTCCTGGGCTCAAGCAATCTTTCTGCCTCAGCCTCACAAGAAGCTGGGACTACAGGCATATGCCACCACGCCTGGCTAATTTTTCTATTTTTTGTAGAGACAGGGTCTCACTCTAGCTCAGGCTGGTCTTGAACTCTTGACCTCAAGCAATCCTCCTGCATCAGCCTCCTAAAGTCCTATAATTACAGACCTGAGCCACCCAACCCCACCTAACAAATATATTTTAAAGTAGGATTTGAGGGAACCAGTCATTCAGCCTTTGAAAATTCAGTGTAGTACTTTTTTTTAGCAGTAAATACCATATTAAGATATATCAAAATCAAAGTTACACACTAAATCACAGTAATACTTATTGATATTTTATATTGAATACATTTACTGTGATTTTATTTATTCACCAAATGTATTATACTTGACATGGTGGTGATTTCTCATTACGTTTTCACATTAGTAAAACCACAGGAATGTAGCACATATGGAAATATTAAATCACATTGAATGCAGAATCTATATAGTACTCACCAAAATCTAAGAGACTAGGAGTTTGTAACTCCCATGCTGTCAAACTACTGACAAGTGTCTTAGGTAGAGGTGTAGGTGAAACAAATATTACTGGTCAAACTTATTTCTTTGGCTATACTCATGGTTGGCTGCAAGGCACTAAGTAGAGTATATTTTTCCCTCTCAAATATACTAGGAAAAATGTATGTACCCAGATTTCCTTTCCCTCTGTCCTTGAGATTCATTATATTTGTTTAAAGAATTTAACGAGTTAGTTCAGGGAGTTACATCAGGAATTACTTTTGTATTAGTGGTAGGAATAACAAGTAGCTTCTTTGTAATGTTGTACCAGTCAATACCTACTTTTGCCCAAGGATACATCCATACCAATTCTGGATAATCCAGCTTTGAAGTGGGTTGGGCAGTGCTAGGTTTCTTTTGTGGGTGCTATTAGTTTGGACTGTGACCTAGTCACACATGCCTTGAAAATGTAAACAGCACTGAGTATATAGGGTAATTAAGTTCCACAAATGCTAACTAAAGCCTGTGTATATGACATTTACATCAAAATAGTTTTCTAGACTAGGTACAAGAAATTTTTTCCATTTTCTACAACTTATTTACCTAGAAAGAACATTTAACTAACATGTTCTGCTCATAGAAAACACTGTCCTTCTTTGCATGTGAAATTTCAAAATGAGCAATTACCAAGCCAAAGAAATGCTCACAATCTTCAAAATGTTCTTTATATAAATATTTGGTAGAATCAACTTTTAAAGTCATTTTTAAACATCATTATTTTCTTTATAGAGTTTTCAGATAGTAGGCTGGGCGTGGTGGCTCATGCCTGTAATCCTAGCATTCTGGGAGGTCAAGGCAGGAGGAAACCTCGAGGTCAGGAGTTTGAGACCAGCCTGAGCAAGAGTGAGACCCTGTCTCTACTAAAAATAGAAAGAAATTAATTGGCCAGCTAACAAATATATATAGAAAAATTAGATCTAGATTTGCGTCGCCTGCCTCCAGCGCCTAGTTTCCTGGACTCGTGTCTAGGCCCGTCTGACTTGGTCTTGCCCCTCCGGCTGCAGCCCCTGCCCCACTGCCCTGGACTCACCTCACTCTCCCCCCTCACCTCACCACTTCCCGAACTCACCTCAGCCACCCCGAGACTCCCTGAGCTCACCTCACCAACCAACCCGCCCCTCTCACTTCACCATGCCCCCCCCCATGGCTCACCTCACCACTTCCTGGGCTCACTTCCCCACTCCCCCAGCCCCTGGGCTCACCTTGCCACCACATGCTTACCCCTTTACCCCTGGGCTCACACCCCCACCCCCAGCTCACCTCCCCACTTCCCAGGGTCATCCCCCCACCTCCAGGCTCATCCCTTTACCCGCTGGCCTTAACTTAAACCCCTTCCCGGCTCCCCCCACCAGCCTCCTGCCCCAGGAGGCCTGTGCACCTCCAGGCAGATGGAGCAGCCCGGGCTGCCAGGGCAGGAGGGGTCAGGGCCCAGCGTGGGACACTGGGGAGGTGGCCTGTGGTACCCCACCCGCCTCGAGGGGAACTGCGTTCCAGAACATAGCTCAAGATGTTGGTGGTGTCTAAAACTTGTGACATGAACTGTAATATAAGAGAAATGTGTGACAAGAAAGAAAGAAGAAAGAAAGAAAAGAAAGAAAGAATTAGCCGGGCATGCTGTCACATGCCTGTAGTCTCAGCTACTCGGGAGGCTGAGGCAGGAGGATCTCTTGAGCCCAGGAGTTTGAGGTTGCTGTGAGCTAGGCTGATGCCACGGCACTCTAGCCCGGGCAACAGAGTTAGACTGTCTCAAAAAAAAAAAAAAAAATTCAGATAGTAGTTTAAGATAGGTGACATATTAAATATTATACAATCAAGATATAAAGCCCTTCGTTAAAGTTGTAAGAGAGGAGAAAACGGCAAATCTTTCGTTATTAGCCAACCTCTGTTATCATGTGGACATTCTCTGGGTCAAGGGATATTTGTCATACAAATTTCACCAAAGTCTTTTCTTTGTAATCTTTGATTATAGGATCTGGAACCTGAGCATTTTTTTTAAACCCCCCTCCTTGCCAAAGAAGATAAAGATGGAGGGCTAGAGCGATAGAAACTGAGAGAGATAGAAACTGAGAGAGAGTTCCTTAGAGGAGGAAAGACCACCTTAGCTAGGCTTGTTTTGCTTCAGACATCTGACTAGAATTAGTTTGGCTGGCAGAACCCAGACGCGGGGGGAGAATTCCTGAAGAAGAGTCAGTAACTAACAAAACTGTCTTTCGTATAAGTTTGGAGCTTTGCTAAGCGCTATATGTTATCATCTAATTTATTCATAACAACAACCCAACAAGGAAGATACTAATATTAATCTTTTACGGACGAACGAACTGAAAGTCACAGACATGAAACAACAAACGCGCCGGTCACACAGCAAGTAAGTGACGGCACCAGAACTCGATATTGCCCCAGGGCACGCATTCTCCACCGCCACGTTCAACCCTGGGGTCGGTTGCGGAGCGCTATCAGCGGCCTTCCCACCTTGCTTCGTGGGACAGTTCCCGGTACTGAGAGATGGCGCTGTCCAGCCCTCAGGCCCGCCGCCGTTCGCAGGCGAGAGAACGCCCGAAGGCTGTAAACCCGCAGCGCCCAGCCGCGTCCAGGCACGCAAGCAGGCCGAGTCACCTCAGGGCGGCCGTCTCCAGCAGCTGCCGGGTCTCCTCAGCTCCGCGCGCTGGGCCCAACTCTGAAAGGCTGAAGGCGCGAAGCTGCAACCGCCCAGTCCCTTGCAGCTCTGCCCCTCACTCCCGCCCAAATAGCCAGAGGCGGATAGGTTACGCAGCCTCACCTGTCCCGGAGGCGGCGACCGCTCCGGTGACTGACGCTACGTTCCTCCAACCAGGCAATGGCAGAAAGGTGGAGCCTCGCTGAGACTGATCGCTCCTTTCCTCCAATCCCCATGCAGTTACTCTCCAGTCACAGTCTAGGCGCCCGGCGGAGAGCGACAGGTGGGAGCTGCGTTACTTTGGTGCCTCTCGCGTCCTTGATGCATAAGCTTCACCAAGCGCAGGGTGAAGTCAACTCCAAATTTTACCAATTCTTGAGGGTCGTCACTTAAGCCATCATTTTAATCAGAAGTGGAAATTCCCCAGCCCTTTCCCGTCACCTCAGATGGGGGCGGGATGAATGGTAACCTCATCGGCCAATTGTACCACGCGACGTCCTGTGACGAATTACCGACACTTTATAGCGCCAATGAAGTCTTCCATTGTTAAGCGTCACTATGACTGACCATAAGGCCAACTAATCTACTTTAAGGTCGTGACGCGATAGTCAGCGGGGCTGACCAATAGACAGAGAAAAAGACCGGAAGTCTGCTTGCGGGGGGAGTAAGAGGCGGGTGTTCGCAACCGCCTAGGCCTGCGCGGGTCAACGCAGCTTGGGGGCCGCGAGCCAGCGAGCGGCGCGTGACGAAGAGCCTGAGCGACGGGTGATCTTGGCCAATGATCTGCAGCCGCCGAGGAGCTGCAGCCAGTGGCGAGTCGAGGGGGCGGGAGGCAGCAGGTTAGGCAGTGAGAAGTTAGTGGCGCTGCTGGGACGGGGGAAAGGAGACGCTTCTTCCTCCTCCTGCTCCTCTCGTTCCCGGGATCAGCCGCGGCAGTGGCCGCGAGTGACTCGGCAGCGTCTCCGGCTCCGCGTGGGAACCATGCTGACCGATGGCGGAGGCGGCGGCACCTCCTTTGAGGAGGACCTGGACTCGGTGGCTCCGCGATCCGCCCCAGCCGGGGCCTCAGAGCCGCCTCCGCCGGGAGGGGTCGGTCTGGGAATCCGCACCGTGAGGCTCTTTGGGGAGGCCGGGCCCGCGCCGGGAGTCGGTGGCGGCGGCGGCAGCGGTGCGGGCGGAGGGGACGCGGCGCTGGACTTCAAGTTGGCTGCTGCTGTGCTGAGGACCGGGGGTGGAGGTGGTGCCTCTGGCAGCGACGAGGACGAGGTGTCCGAGGTAAGGCTCCAGGACTCTGACTTCCCACACAGCGTGAGGCGTGAATTCTTTTGGGCCGGGGCTACCCTCCCGCTTCCCGGGCGGAGTACTTCTCTGACAGCGGTAGGCTCCATGCGGCGGTGCCAGCGGTGCGGGCCTAGTGAGCTTTCGGCTTATTCTTCAGTCCGCGGCTCCAGTGGGACCGGTTCCCGTCACCATTCGTACCCACAATAGGGAGTCCTTTGGTCTCTGAGCTTCGCGCGGGAACAAGGATTCCTCAGGCTACCTCCCGCCCACCCTGCTTTGGAGATGGGGGGGCGGGGTCTTGCCAGAGTCCCTGCCCTTGGTACTGAGAGAGACAAACAGAGTCAGAGACAGACAGAGCTAGCTTGCCTCTTCCTCAAAGTTAGGGGTACATTTATTTGCCTTATGCCTTGTGTATGCCTTACTTGTGTCCTTAAGGGTTTGAGACAGGTAAATATTAAGGATCTCTCAGCTTGTACCCTGAAAAATCACGTGACTCCTTCACTTGGGACCTTTTGTGAAGTTAGACAGGAAAAGGAAGTTCAAGTGCGTCTCTGAGCTTTGGAATAGCTGGATAGCCTAACTCTGAGGTTTTTAGGCTTGGAGAAGGTCAGGCTCCCTATGGACACCTTTTCTTTTGCAGTGAGGTCCTTCATTTCTTTTAACTCTCGTGTGTATACTCTTATGTGTACACATTTTTAGGTCTGAGCAACCTAGGATGGTAGGCATTATCTTTTTTGGGGCTCTAGGGGAAAAGGAGATTTTTATTTATAAATCTATTTTTCTCTTGACTGAGGCTTGGATATAACACTGTACTGTGATGACTGTTGTTTTAAGTGCTCAGAGTATTTCTTCTATTTTAGTTCTAAGGTGCCTGGTTCATCCCCTGTGACCAATTATTTTAACCTCTGGTCCTGGTGTTAAAGTACAGGAATTTCTCTCTTTGTACTAACGATCCTGGCTCTTGTATTTGAGAAGAATAAGGAGAAATTATTTGTGGGTTTCAGAATATAGTTAGTGTATTGTCTTATCATTCTAGGTCTGAACAGGAGTTTCTTTCTATTAAAAATCTTAGTACATTCTGACCCCAACATTTTGCTTTGGAGAAAACTGTATGGGTTATAAAGGGGCATAGTTCCTTGAATGTCTGTGTCTGAATTTTCATCACAAGGGAAATTAAATTCTAAGCCAAGGTGGGACTACGATTTTATTTGTATACAGTTATGGGGAGAGTCTCTGGCGCACTCCTACTCTTGGGCTTGTGGAAGGCTTTTTTTTACCCTTTCAGTAAAACTTGAGAGATGAAGCTAGAACATATTACTAGTTAGCTAGGAAATGAGTGGGGGGTTAACTCTAGACTTCAAAGATTAAACTTTATTTTCCTTGGAAATTTATAAGGGAGAATCTGAAAAAGTTTGCCTTGGTTTAAATGTGATGGAAAGAGGGTGTCCCTTGATTTTCTTACCATTTTTTGTATAATTGCTGTGAGTGAGATGAAGCCACACTCATTTGCTTTATTTTATTTAATTAATTTTTTTAGAGACAGGATGTCACGGTGTTGCCCAGGTTGGAGTGCAGTGGTTATTCACAGGCCTTATCATAGTGCACTACAGGCTTGAACTCCTGGGCTCAGGCAGCCTTCTCACCTCAGCCTCCCAATTAACTGGGACTTACAGGCACACACCACTCCACATAGCACTCATTTACTTTTATGTAAGTAGTAGTATTAAATTTCTTCAATGATAGAGTGCTAGTGAACCTCCAAAGTCTTATATCAATCAATCTCTCTCTTTATATATATATAATTTCATTTGTAGTCTCCATAGCATGTGGTTAAAGCCGTGGGCTGAACTCACACCTTTGTTGTTTTTTGTAGTTTGTTGTACAAGTCATGTGTTTATGATTCCTACGTACATTTAGTAGTGGGTAATGGTAAAAGATCCCCATATTCTCCTGTTTATTTAGGTTTTCTGTGCCTATAAAAGGATTTAAGTATAAATCTTTTTTTTTTTTTTTTTTGAGACAGAGTCTCGCTTTGCTTTGTTGCCCAGGCTAGGGTGAGTGCTGTGGCTTCAGCCTAACTCACAGCAACCTCAAACTCCTGGGCTCAAGCAATCCTGCTGCCTCAGCCTCCCAAGTAGCTGGGACTACAGGCATGTGCCACCATGCCCGGCTAATTTTTTTTTTTTTTATTTTTTTATTTTTTTATTATTTATAGTAGAGACGGGGTCTCGCTCTTGCTCAGGCTGGTTTCGAACTCCTGACCTTGAGCGATCAGCCGGCCTCTGCCTCCCAGAGTGCTAGGATTACAGGCGTGAGCCACCTGGCCCGGCCAGTATAAATCTTTTTAATACTTTTTTGGAATGGAGGTTTCTAGGATATGCACAGATTTTAGCCTAATCCAGGATGATGCTCAGTGTGTATTTTAGATTCTTTCTTAACCTGTGGAGAAAGGAAATTTTATTTTTCTGTCCTGTTTCTTCCCTATTACATAGAGAGGAAATTCCTGGAGTATCTAATCTCTGCTCTATAAAGTATGTGGTAGGCTATAGTCTATGCCTTTGTGAATGAAATGACCTATTTTGCCCAAGCAAATGTTTTGCCTTTTCTGTTTTCTCTCTGACAAGATGAGCTGTTTTCTCCCATGTTATTGCCTTTGAATTTCCAGTGTGAAAGGATCATAACTAATGCTCTTCAAAAAATACTCACCTAACTGGCATTTGATGAATAATACTAAAATCTTCATGTTCATCTTTCCTAAGTATTTTAGAAGCAAGTACCTACACATCCAGAAAGATGATGAGTTCGTGTGTCGTTTGGGAGTAAATTTGTATAGTTTTCTAAATGGGACAGGACTAGGTGAGAAGTGGGTAAGAAATGTGGAGACAATGTAGTTGCTCTAGAATTAGTTGAAGTTCTATACATTTTGTGTGCAGAGAAGTAGATACACTAAGGACCTCTTTTCTATTTATTATCAGAGCCAAGAGCTGAGAAAAAAATAAGTTGCTTTCCCATGCTGGCCGACTCAAAAGATCTTTTGGTTCAATGGAGGGACTTAGGTCTTTTAGTAAATTTTTAATATTAGATTTGTGCTGTCTTAGGGAATGCTACCATTTGGGATCTTTTGTTCTTGTTTTAGGTATTGAAGTAAATATTTTGTATTTCTTCAGGGATTCTGAGTATATTTCTTAGCTGTCACTCTAAGGCCTTGATTAGAAAAGTCATAACTGCTGTGAATCCCATCAAAATTCTATTCTGAGCACATTGTTCAGAATAGAGGTCAGGTTAAAAAGCCCTTAAAAACCATTTAAAATTTTATTTTTTATTTTTAGAGACAGGGTCTTGCTATATTTCCCAGGCTTGTCTTGAACCTGCCTCAGCCTACTGAATATCTGGTACTACAGGCATGTGCCACCATGCCCAGTTTAAAAAACTGATTTTTAAATGTTAATTTTGGAATTGTAGTTTTTTTTGTTTTTAAACAAGTTGAAAGAATAATAAAATTCCTAAAGAAAAGACTGGTGAGATTTATGATTTTTAATTTTTGTCATAAGAATGTATGCATATACTGTATGTATATATGTGTGACAGCCTTTTCTTAAAATTATTGTAAAAGTAATATAATCTTATGGTGAAAAATTCAACAGAATAGATAGATATGAGGTGAAAAGTAAAAATACTTCTTTCCACTCTCACTAACCCTTCATATCCCATTCTTTTTTTTTTTTTTTTTTTTTTTTTTGAGACAGAGTCTCACTTTGTTGCCCAGGCTAGAGTGCCATGGCGTCAGCCTGGCTCACAGCAACCTCAATCTCCGGGGCTCAGTGATCCTACTGCCTCAGCCTCCCGAGTAGCTGGGACTACAGGCATGCGCCACCATGCCCGGCTAATTTTTTGTATATACATTTTTAGTTGGTCAATTAATTTATTTCTATTTTTGGTAGAGACGGGGTCTCGCTCAGGCTGGTTTCGAACTCCTGACCTTGAGCAATCCACTCGCCTCGGCCTCCCAAAGTGCTAGGATTATAGGCGTGAGCCACCACGCCCAGCCGAAATCCCATTCTTTAAGGTAAACAATATTAAAACTCTTTTAGTAAATTTTCTAGGCCTATATATCTAGGTATGTATAGGTAAGTAAAGTGTGTGTATTTATACACACACTTTATATACACACACTTTAAAGACATATATCAATTTAGGAAGCATAGCTTTATGAGACCTTTTAGCGTCTCAATACTATAGCGTATTGAGACCTTTTTTTCTTG